AATCAGATGAAGAAATTTGTGATTTATTCTCAGATTTGATGAACAAGCGGTACGGTTTGTGAGGTCCGATATAAATAATTTTCGATTAGAAATCATGAATATTTATAATTACGATTGAGGTTCGACATTATTATGTGATTTCATTAATAATTGGTATCAAGGGGTTTTTGTGGACCAACATTTTTTTTTTCAATAATTCATGCTGACGAATTCTATAATTACGAAAAATCATTAATGTAAATGAAAAAAACTGTATTCAGAAATGAATTTTTTTTATATGTGTTCCATATGTCATATTCATTCTGTGATCAACAGATTAAAAAGATTTCTGCTCAATGTTTAGTTTGTATACTAAATAATTATTCTTGTGCAACCGGTGTTAAATCTGTTATTGCTCACTTAACAACCAACTCACGTCACACAAAGAATATGATTTCCGTTTTGGTTTTTCTTTCTTTGCGCAAGGCTCTCGCGTTGCATACAGACAATATTCAATGAGAAATTAATGTTGTCATTTTTTGACCTTTTTTTGGTTGGGATATATCAAATAACGAAATAATATAAACCTAGTTTCAAAAACTTCATTTATAAGAAAAAGATCAAAAAAATGATTATTAAAAACATCAAAAATATCCCTTTTCATAATTGTTATGTATTTTCGGATACAGAACAAATACTTTTAGATCAAACTTTATTACAAAGAATTATCTGACATTACAACTTCATTCTTATTTGACAGTAAACCGACAGTTCTCCAAACCCGTATTCTAATGTTTTCTCGATACTGAAGGTTTGGTACTTTTCAGCTTGGTACTTCTACATGATTATAATATATAACATTATCTTCCCCCTCAAATAAAATTAAAACATGTATCTGTCAGGTTTTTTGATAGTTCTCACTGATCTACGTAATGTAGTGGTTGGGTTTTCAGATAAGCTAATTTCTGCATTATTGTCATAGTCATTACTCTTTTTTCACCAAAACTCTCTCATTCTGATCTTGGCATTGTATGTCAATCTCACAAGATTCATCTCCATTCAGCTTATTTTCATTCTCTGAATTGGAAGTTTTGCTTCTCTCCTCTGAAAGTAATATATCTTCTGAATCAACATCATATGAAGAGTTGTTTTCAATAGATGCAAAATCATCAGATAATGTTGAAACCTTACGAAGATGATCTATATGAACGTATCTTGGTTTATCTCCCACAAGCACAATATACGTCACCGGGCTTATTCTCACTTTCACTATCCCCTTAGACCAATTATCCCTCTCTCCACGTACATTTTTAACATAAACTTCATCTTCCTCTTGGAATTCTTTAAATCTATTGGGATGAATATTTTTATTTCTTTTCTCTATGATATATGTTTGTTTATCTTTAATGTATCCATTCAAATTCGGTTTTAGTAAAGATAATTTTGTTTTAGGTTTTTGTTTAAGCATCAATTCAGCAGGTGATAACTGAGTAACACTGTGTGGAATATTCCTATAGAAGAAAAGAAAATTGTCAAGTTTTTCTTGATTTGTCAGACATTTTGTTTTATCATCATAGAGTTGTTTCAAAAAATTATTCTTGAACGTCTGAATACATCTTTCAGTTATACCATTTGAAGATGGATGCAATGGATGAGATTTCAAAACTTGGACTCGATTAGATGTACAGAATTAAATAAAATCTTCCGAGCTGAATGGAGGTCCATTGTCTGTA